TGTATACACAGAGTGTCTAGCCCTCCATACAACAATACAGCTGGTTTCAGGTTTTTCAAATATAGGTATACTTACGGCAATCATATTTAGTTTCAGATACTCAAATTCAGTTTCTGATGGCTTTTGGTTTTGATCGTAGAAGTTTAGGCCCATGGAAAAGGAGCATTTGATGGAATTAACTGAGCTATTTATAGTTTCAAGTGCCAAAATAAGCACTCTGATTTACCATGTTACTTTTATAAATGTTGATATGAATTACTTATAGATTCTAGATTGACAAGTAGTTGTTGGTGCTTTTTTGTATGTTGTTTCGTTTTTTGAGTGAATTGGCTGAAAGATCAAAATGCTGATTAGACTTTCTTGTTCAACAGGGGGAAAAGGTTCCTTCAAAAATCAACCTTGCCAAGGAGCACTGGTACGGGTCAGACGAGTTCCTGGCCCTCCCTGCTCAGCTTCATGAAACTGAGTTGCTAGCTGTGAAATTGGAAAGTCTGATACAGTCAAGTGCCCAGGTAAGTACGAAACCTGAGTCTGCTATCTCTACCTAAACTTGATCCTACAGATTGTAATGATAATCTAACACAGCTTTATAAACTATTTATGGTGTTTTTGCCCAATCTTTTTACTGCAGAGACAGATAAGTTTGCAGAACATAGACGACTGGGAGCTGTCAGAGCTTAATATAGACTGGAGCAATGGAGAAAGTGAAACCAACATAAATAATGCATGGGAAAGAGGGGATAACAACCAGTATCCCCTGCCATCATTGGTATGACATCTTTTGTTTTATCATCAGAAGAGAACTAATTTAGGATTAAATAATTTTCCTCTGTGTTCTTTTGCTCAGCAACCTTATAAACAACACTCGGTCAGGTGCTTCAGCTCAACCTCCTCCAGCGATATTGCTCCCTCAGTTGAAGAAAGCATTGAATCGGGTCCTTTGAGCGAACTGCTGTCAGAAGAGGAAGAGAGGTCTGTGGATTACTCCCCACAGCTAACAGTGTCCCTGCTGGGTGGGTGTGGACATGCTTCTATGATGAAAAAACTCTTGAAGAACATCCAGGATCGGAATGGTGATGTTTGGAGAACGATGGAGGTGAGTCATTTACGCAAAATCTAAATCTTTGTTTTTCATCTGCCCCTCTCTCTGCTGGTCATATTTTCAGTACTTTATGTCTAAGTATGGCACAGATTTGTAGAATACTCTCTGCTGAGACACTTTGTCCAACTCTATCTAAATATATCTTATTTTGTGGAAGAAGTACAGAATTTCTTGTACTTCTGTCCTATTAAGATAGGGCAAGTCAAACTTAATTCTTGCAACTCCATTTTTTAAACCTCTGCAGAGGATAAATTGGAAAGCTAATGTTGAATCTTCCTGTGATCTCATTAATGCATCATCTATCTTCTAAAAGGTCATGTTTGATTGGCAGTCAGATCATTGATGAGGCTTCCCAGAGATCTAATCAGTCATATCTGTCATTTTGAGTATGGTCAAATGTCAGTAACACAGGGGATACATCCTGATCATGTCTGGACTTGCAATTACAGCAATAAAGAGATGATGTTCAGGTTTATGAACTCCAAGCTTTCACTGGTGTAACATTTCAAATCCTCACTGGAAAAAATCTAAATAAGTGTATTTTTTTCTTAAAATAAGCAGGTAAGTTAGACACTTTGCCAGTGGAACAAGACAATTGACATTTAAAATAAGAAAAAAACAATTGCATTGTTGTATTTCAAGTGCATGTTATCTGATTATCTTACTTTAAGAGTTAAATTACTCATTCCATTGGCATCATCATCTCATTTACCTGCTGAAATTAAGGGTAAACAAACTTAATTTAAGAAATGTTGACTTATTTCTAGAGATCGTCTTTACTGTGTAAATTTCTTAAATTTCTGGTTCATTATCTAATAGCAAGTGACCTGTACTTTTACGGAACTTTCTATATCGAGTCTGAGAGCTCCAAATTTCTTCACACTATTTTCACTCAGTCACTCTCAACCCAGTCTCATGGGAAAATGTACCTCCACTACGTTGGTCCACACTGGGTTGTCATTCTTCATTAACACATTTGCTTGCTGATGATAATAAGCTGCATTATAGCAAGAGCAGCCTAACTTTTGAAAGAAGTACAGTTCCTGCAATCCTGTAAAAACCAACACCAGACAAAGCACAACAACAAAGATAACACTAGAAAGCCCAGAGATACTAGAATTGTCATTAATCTCCAGTCCTCCCAACAGTACTTCACAACTAATAAATCCCTTTTCAGATGTAAATGCCCCATTTGCGCTGTCGTTGGAGAACCATTCCACCCCATTCAGTTTGGATTTTAGCTCAAGCCTCTCTGTTGAAGAGTGTTTTATCTGAGAGCAGGGGGGGAATCAGATTTGTAATTCAATATAACTAGGTCTACGTCATTAGTGTCGCCAACACTGGTATGATTTCCGAAAACGGACCCACTAGCGCAGCGAACAGACGATAACTGATCTGTACGATGAAAATAGCTGCATGAGCTGGAACGCTGTAGTGAAAGTGAAAGCAAAAATATTTATATAATAAAGACCATCTGCCATATTTACTAAGGAGCAAATATAACTCAAGCGATCTCTCCTCTGCTGCAGAGAGACAGCGTCGTGAGACTGCGGTGAAGTTGGCAATATATTCACAGATACAAAACAGACACCTCTCCGCAACCACAGCAAGGAAGGCAGTGAGCTACAACCGTAGTTTCCACAAAACGAGTCTCCTATCGCGCTGGGAGAATTACATTGGACCCTATTTAGAGCTCCTCCGCAAATGTGCAGGGACCGTCTGCAGGTTTTTTCTTTTTTTTTTTTTATGACAGTGTCCTGTCTGGCAATGTGGCAATAAGAATAATTGCCTTGATGCCAAAAAGAGCCCAACAGATTTTACTTTCACAAGTGGAGCAGTACGTATCGCCATAGTGTTCCGCTTGATTTATGCATATAAATAGCTTTATTATAAATATGCAGGGAGTTTTACAGATTATATGGACTCTGCAATGTAAGTAGAACAAAAGAGTTTGTCTGATTGTAGCAGCGAGAGGCTCAATGAAAATAGCAAAAAGTGAGGGGGAGAGCAGGCATCCCTGCCTGGTGCCCCTCTGGAGACAAAAGCTGTAAGATGTTTGATTATTTTTCCTGACACAGGCTGTTGGGAAGCTGTATAATATTTTTAACCATTTTATAAAGGAATTGCCAAAGCCAAATTTATGTAGAGTAGCAAATAAAAATTTCCAGTTAACTCTATCAAATGCTTTTTTCTGTATCTAAAGACAATATGTAGGATTTAATATTTTTCTATTTGGAGTCTTTGTATTAAAAATTAATTTTGTTTTTCAATATATTCGTTTAGTTCTAGTTTTATTCTATGAATTTCACCTAATTTTTCCTCATCTAGCGAGCTTTCTAGTAACTTAATGTTTTTCCTTTAATTCCTGGATCTTTTTTGTTCTCACTTTTATTTTTAATGAGATGAGAATGAAATAATTTTACCTCTCATCACTGCTTTTCCTTCCTTACCATAGTATAGAGGCTGATGTTCCTGGTAAAACCTTGCACCCCAAGTATGATGCCCACTCTTCCTTGAAAATTTTAAGAAATCCTTCATCTTTAAGCAGTGATGTATTAAATCTCCAGCTCTTGTTTTATGGGGCTATTTTTTTATTTATTAGGGTTAAAGTAACAGGAGCATGATCACTGATTACAGCACGGATTACAGCATCCGAGACATCAGACAGCAGCGAGCTGCTGATTAGGAAATAGTCCAAGCGAGAGTAGGAATGATGGACATTAGAAAAGAAAGTGTATTCCTTACTGTTAGGATGAAGAGATCGCCATGCATCGCAAAGACCAAAATCACTCATGTATTGTTTGATTATATTTAATGATTGCCAACTGTGAGTCCCTGTTGTATTCAACCTGTCCATTTCTCCATTTAGACCAAAGTTGAGGTCACCCCCAATAATTAGAGAACAGTCCCTGTACTTTGAAAGGGTATGAAAAACTTTGTGGAAGAATCAGGGGTCGTCAACATTTGGACAATATATATGCAGACAATACATAACTTTTGGTTATGAATAGATATTTTAATTATGATGAATCTGCCTTCAGGATCAATAATTTTGTCTAATAAAGTAAAACTGAGGTTTTTGTGGATTAAAATTGCTACTCCTCTCTGTCTAGAGTTATAGCAGGCTGCAAACACATCAGGGAACTCAGGGGAGTTAAGATCACTTACAGTTGTCGCTGATTTATGGGTTTCTTGCAATAAGACAACATCTGCATTGAGTCTTTTAAACTGGTAAAAAAATCTTAAGCTGTTTCTCTCTGGTGCCAGCTCCATGCACATTCCATGTCACAAACCTTACATTCACCATAGGTGTGAGTGAGAAGATGAAAAGTACATGCCTCTGAATAAATAGTTATACCTAGACACAGATGGCATCAAACCGTGTGCTTGTGATAGTGTGAACCACAGGGAAGAAGCAGACGAATTAGAAAAAGGAAGACATAGAATTAAGAAAATGCAATAAGTAAGGAAAAGGTGAAAGAAGAAGAACCCCAGCCCATGCATTCTGTACCCAGCTGTAACTAACAGCCATACCGTGCAAACGTGCTCTAGAGCTGTGCTTATATTTCATTTATCACCATGAAATGTTCTATACACTTTTATTAAGTGTCACATGCTTTTAAAACACCTGTTGTGCATCTAATAAAGCCAAGGAGTGATCTTCTGATCCCTGAACAACTGACCATTAATATTTAGTTTGTCAACTGATACTGTAGCTCTGACGCCTTCACTAATAGATTTCTTCCTGATTGGGAATAAGACTGGCCTGCGATCTAATATTTCTTTTGGAAACTGGTCATTAACGCTGAAATCTGTTCCTCTCAGCTCTCTGCCCTGACTCCTGACCTGCTCGTTCTGCTTGTAATGCTCAAACTTAGCTACAATTGGTCTAGCACCGGTTTTATCAGGCTTCTTACCTCAGAGCCGGTGAACGCGATGAAAGGTGATGTTTTTTACCTGGTCTGCCGGGATTTTTAGCTTCTGCAGGTGGAACTTGCGGATTGTGACCTCAGGATCCTCCTCCTGCTGCACCGCGATTCCTGTGAAGACTAGATTGTCTCTCATGCTCCGTGACTGAATGTCCAAAATGGATTCCTTAATCTTTTTATTTTCGCCGGACAGCTGGATTTTCCCCTCGGTGAGTTTGGTGACTTCCCCCCTCAGCGCTTCATTATTGGCGGTAACGGAGGCCAGCTGCTCTTGGCTGTATTCCAGCGACTCTCTCAGGGCTTGAAACTCCTTCTGCAGGACTTCTACCAAGGCGAGGCGGGCGTCCAAGCTGGATAGCTTTTTGTCAATGGATTGCAGGACGTTGCTGTAGCTCCTGTCTGGAGACAAAGTAGAGGTAGAAGCAGCACTGGTTGAACTAGACCGACATTGTTTAGTAGAAGGTGTGTTTGTGGATGTGGGATTCCCTGGCTTCCCCATTACGATGTTGTCAAAACACTTGTCCAGGTAGCTCTCCAGGCTCGTCAAGGTCTCGTCTTCCAGTTTGTTCCCTCAGAAATATGGTACAATTGTCAAAGTTTAAACCTATTTTTTTTAATATACAATTATTTGCTTGCTTAGCTGAGTGGATTTGTTTTTTGAATTACCTGTATGTTGCCATTTTACTTACGCACACAGCTCTTGTGTAATCTCAGCTGCTCATTCCCCCTCTCCTCTCTTCCATCTGCAAGTTGCAACACCATAAAAACAATCAGAGAGAAAGCTTCACAGAGGAGAGGTGAATTATTATCAAATTCATTTCTTGTGTATCTCATCTTATGGATTTCGTAGCACATTTATTAGATTCTAAAATAATACATTTTTTTCATGGAATTTCCCAAAGCCTTAATGACAAATAGCACCTCTATTTTATTATTAGAATAAGTATAAAACGAGCAATGACTACACTATAGATCGTTAAAGTGCCATTAAACTTGAAGGACACATAGATAACCTCATCTGGATCATACTACAACTCTTACTTTGGGAAAATGTGCTAAACTGTA